CGGGGGACGGGGACGGGGCAACCTAGGGAGGAAAACACCTAGGGGGACAAGTGAGAGAGAGAACACCTAGGGAGGGGACAAGTGAGAAGAACACCTAGGGAGGGACAAGTGAGAAGAACCCTAGGGAGGGACAAGTGAGAGAGAGAACACCTAGGGAGGACAAGTGAGAAGAACACCTAGGAGGGACAAGTGAGAGAGAGAACACCTAGGGAGGGACAAGTAAGAGAGAACACCTAGGGAGGGACAAGTGAGAGAGAACACCTAGGGAGGGACAAGAGAGAGAAGCACCTAGGGAGGGACAAGTGAGAAGAACACCTAGGAGGGACAAGTGAAGAGAGAACACCTAGAGGGACAAGTGAAGAGAGAACACCTAGGGGGGACAAGTGAGAGAGAGAGACCTAGGGAGGGACAAGTGAGAGAGAGACCTAGGGAGGGACAAGTGAGAGAGAGAACACCTAGGGAGGGACAAGTAAGAGAGAGAACACCTAGGAGGGACAAGTGAGAGAACACCTAGGGAGGGACAAGTGAGAGAGAGAACACCTAGGGAGGGACAAGTGAGAGAGAGAACACCTAGGGAGGGACAAGTGAGAGAGAGAACACCTAGGGAGGGACAAGTGAGAGAGAGAACACCTAGGGAGGGACAAGTGAGAGAGAGAACACCTAGGGAGGGGACAAGTGAGACAGAACACCTAGGGAGGGGACAAGTGAGACAGAACACCTAGGGAGGGACAAGTGAGAGAGAGAACACCTAGGGAGGGGACAAGTGAGACAGAACACCTAGGGAGGGACAAGTGAGAGAGAGAACACCTAGGGAGGGACAAGTGAGAGAGAGAGAACACCTAGGGAGGGACAAGTGAGAGAGAGAACACCTAGGGAGGGACAAGTGAGAGAGAGAGCACCTAGGGAGGGACAAGTGAGACAGAACACCTAGGTAGGGACAAGTGAGAGAGAGAACACCTAGGAGGGACAAGTGAGAGAGAGATCACCTAGGGAGGGACAAGTGAGAGAGAGAGCACCTAGGGAGGGACAAGTGAGAGAGAGAGCACCTAGGGAGGGACAAGTGAGAGAGAGAACACCTAGGGAGGGACAAGTAAGAGAGAGAACACCTAGGGAGGGACAAGTGAGAGAGAGAGCACCTAGGGAGGGACAAGTGAGAGAGAGAACACCTAGGGAGGGACAAGTGAGAGAGAGAACACCTAGGGAGGGACAAGTGAGAGACAGAACACCTAGGGAGGGACAAGTGAGAGACAGAACACCTAGGGAGGGACAAGTGAGAGAGAGAGCACCTAGGGAGGGACAGGCAGAGCTCTGTACCACAATCACTGAGCCAGCGACCACATCAACCGGACCCTTGTCGCAAAATTATGTACGATTTGTATCTTATAATATGCGTGCGCGCGCGCACACGGGACGGGTGCAGGGATTAAGGGCAGCCTGCAGGGGTAGAGGGCAGCCTGCAGGGGTAGAGGGCAGCCTGCAGGGGTAGAGGGCAGCCTGCAGGGGTAGAGGGCAGCCTGCAGGGGTAGAGGGCAGCCTGCAGGGGTAGAGGGCAGCCTGCAGGGGGTAGAGGGCAGCCTGCAGGGGGTAGAGGGCAGCCTGCAGGGGTAGAGGGCAGCCTGCAGGGGTAGAGGGCAGCCTGCAGGGGTAGAGGGCAGCCTGCAGGGGTAGAGGGCAGCCTGCAGGGGGTAGAGGGCAGCCTGCAGGGATTAAGGGCAGCCTGCAGGGGTAGAGGGCAGCCTGCAGGGGTAGAGGGCAGCCTGCAGGGGTAGAGGGCAGCCTGCAGGGGTAGAGGGCAGCCTGCAGGGGTAGAGGGCAGCCTGCAGGGGTAGAGGGCAGCCTGCAGGGGGTAGAGGGCAGCCTGCAGGGGGTAGAGGGCAGCCTGCAGGGGGTAGAGGGCAGCCTGCAGGAGTAGAGGGCAGCCTGCAGGGGTAGAGGGCAGCCTGCAGGGGGTAGAGGGCAGCCTGCAGGGGTAGAAGGCAGCCTGCAGGAGTAGAGGGCAGCCTGCAGGGGTAGAGGGCAGCCTGCAGGAGTAGAGGGCAGCCTGCAGGGGGTAGAGGGCAGCCTGCAGGGGTAGAGGGCAGCCTGCAGGGGGTAGAGGGCAGCCTGCAGGAGTAGAGGGCAGCCTGCAGGGGTAGAGGGCAGCCTGCAGGGGTAGAGGGCAGCCTGCAGGGGGTAGAGGGCAGCCTGCAGGGGTAGAAGGCAGCCTGCAGGAGTAGAGGGCAGCCTGCAGGGGTAGAGGGCAGCCTACAGGAGTAGAGGGCAGCCTGCAGGGGGTAGAGGGCAGCCTGCAGGGGGTAGAGGGCAGCCTGCAGGGGTAGAGGGCAGCCTGCAGGGGGTAGAGGGCAGCCTGCAGGGGTAGAGGGCAGCCTGCAGGAGTAGAGGGCAGCCTGCAGGGGTAGAGGGCAGCCTGCAGGGGTAGAGGGCAGCCTGCAGGAGTAGAGGGCAGCCTGCAGGAGTAGAGGGCAGCCTGCAGGGGTAGAGGGCAGCCTACAGGAGTAGAGGGCAGCCTGCAGGGGTAGAGGGCAGCCTACAGGAGTAGAGGGCAGCCTGCAGGGGGTAGAGGGCAGCCTGCAGGGGTAGAGGGCAGCCAGTAAGACTATGAAGGCAGCTCATAAAAATCAAATCCCCCTTCCGGGGGGGGGGGGCGGGGGCCCCCAAACGACCCTCTTGACATCCTGGGTCATTACCAGGGGCCCGTGGCACCCCCTCCCCAGCCCCCCCCCCCCCCCCCCCGGACCCCATCAAGGGGCCCCGCATGGCACAAAAACCTCCCGGCCGGGATGTATCAACCATTTGCCCAACCTCTTGCGAAACATCTACATCTTTCCCTTAATTATGGGCGGCGTAATTTACATTTATTGAAGAGGCTACGAGCTTGGTAAAACATCACAACTCAAGGGTATTATTGTTGTTGTTATAAAACAACCTTTTTGTGCTGCTGAACTCATATAAGCTGTTTAATAAATGCAAACATTAAGCCCGCTATGATTGAAGAAAGATGTAAATGTTTCGCAAGCGGTTGTAAATGTAATTAAATTAATGGTGTGACACTCGAGTGGGTTGACCACTATCGGTACCTTGGCGTCACTGTCGGCTCTAACAAGGGAAAGAAAGAGGAGCTCGACCAACTCATAGGAACATGCAAAAGTCGACTCAGGGCACTGAAAGCTATGACCTGGAATGGTCATGGAGCCTCTATTGCCGTGCTTAAAATGGTGTACATAGCCTATGTGCGCTCCGTCATAGACTATGCCGCACCAGTTCTGTGCACCTACTCCCAAAGCGATATGAAAAAACTTGAAAGCATTCAAAATGAAGCCATGACAATCATTCTTGGAGTTCCAAGAACTGCCAAAACGTCTAATATACGAGAGTTGTCGTCCCTTCCTAGTGTTAAAAGCCGAATTCAGGAACTGAATGCCAAGCTTGCAATTAAGATAACCAGAGATCCCCATTACAATGATATTGCCAAGAAAAAAATGAGTTCTGTGCTACTTTCTGGGCAAAACAGAGGCAAAAAATGGCATCACAGATCAGTCTACTACCTGGAAGAGCTTCACCTGCTTGAGCAAGCCCGTGAGCTCCTGCCTGTAGAGAGGTTACCTCCCTGGGAGGATGACCCATGCAGGATTATCATCAATGAAATGGCAACGAAAAAATCCAACATGATACCACAAGAAATGAGGCACAATTATCTCAAGGAAATCTATAAAGAAGCCGGAAATGAGTTAGATCAGATCTACACTGATGGGTCATTTAACCCTGTCAATAGCAGGACTGGTGCAGCATACACTGTCATTAGGAATAATGCTTTACAACGTGGAAATGAAGGAAAATCCCGTAATGAGAACTATGCCTCTTCAACACAAGCGGAGCTAACTGCCATTGTTATGGCGTTAAGATTCCTTGAACGAAACACTAACGATGCAGTGATCTGCACTGATTCTATTATTATTACTGTGTTTCAACGTTCACAAACACGTCGTAATGTCAACGGATGGGTCAATTTCATAAAAAAGCGACGTACTGGGTGAGAGGAAATGAGACCACTGTTGGGGACCTGTGAGGGGAAATGCCATGACCCCGAGGGGAAGGCATCACTCAACCCCTCACACTGTAACTCATGCAGCTACAGGCTGCTCCATAAGTCTGCTGCCCCACATGGGACAAAAATTACAAAAAAATTAACAAGTATAACTATTATTTCATATGTTTTACACAAGGGGGCCTGACGGTTGAGTGGACAGCGCTCGGGATTCGTAGTCCTTAAGTTCCGGGTTCCATCCCCAACGGAAACAAATGGGTAGAGTTTTTTCACTCTGATCACCTAGCAGTAAATAGGTACCTGGGAGTTGTGCAGCTGCTACGGGCTGCTTCCTGGAGAGGGGGGGGGGGTGTAACAAAAAAGGAGGCCTGGTCGAGGACCGGGCCGCAGAGACGCTAAGCCCCGAAATCATCTCAAGATAACCTCAAGATGGCTTTTGGCTCTCTCCTGGATTTTGTATGATTCTTGTAGCTTTAGTTCGATCACTTCATTTTCTCTACACAGCCTTGTTATCGCGAGTGACGCGTTCGAGTAGTTCTGTTGTTCTCTTTGGCTGTATGTAAGGAACGCCCACCGTCTGTTGTTCTCTTTGGCTGTATGTAAGGAACGCCCACCGTCTGTTGTTCTCTTTGGCTGTATGTAAGGAACGCCCAACGTCTGTTGTTCTCTTTGGCTGTATGTAAGGAACGCCCACCGTCTGTTGTTCTCTTTGGCTGTATGTAAGGAACGCCCACCGTCTGTTGTTCTCTTTGGCTGTATGTAAGGAACCCCCACCGTCTGTTCTCTTTGGCTGTATGTAAGGAACGCCCACCGTCTGTTGTTCTCTTTGGCTGTATGTAAGGAACGCCCACCGTCTGTTGTTCTCTTTGGCTGTATAGAAGGAACGCCCAACGTCTGTTGTTCTCTTTGGCTGTATGTAAGGAACGCCCACCGTCTGTTGTTCTCTTTGGCTGTATGTAAGGAACGCCCAACGTCTGTTGTTCTCTTTGGCTGTATGTAAGGAACGCCCACCGTCTGTTGTTCTCTTTGGCTGTATGTAAGGAACGCCCACCGTCTGTTGTTCTCTTTGGCTGTATGTAAGGAACGCCCACCGTCTGTTGTTCTCTTTGGCTGTATGTAAGGAACGCCCACCGTCTGTTGTTCTCTTTGGCTGTATGTAAGGAACGCCCAACGTCTGTTGTTCTCTTTGGCTGTATAGAAGGAACGCCCACCGTTCTCGTTCCAATGTGCATAATATATATTCTAGTCTTGGTGGGATATGTTATTCAAACACAGGTCTAGTGGCGCTGTGCCTATACTCACCCGAGGCACTGATTTAAGCTCGCATCAGCCAGATGTTCGTTACCAGATAATTTCTATTAGGTGGCGATTCAGTGGTTCCCAGTTAATTAGTGAATCATTGAAAATTTCATATGCAGAATCCTCTCTGATTTGACACTTGCTCCACTGTCAGTATGTGACCACCACTTGTTCCACTAGTGGGGGGGGGTAGTGGGGAGGGGTGGGGAGGGGGGGGAAGGGGGTGGAGGGAGAGGGAAGGAGAATACGCCGGCCACAAGGAGCATTCACAACACAGTACGATAATATTACCAGGGTTACAGACCCCAGGATGGCACCCCAGCCCCCCCCCCTAGCTAGGGGTAGAGTGGCCCTGGGATGGCACTCAGCTCCTGTAGTGCCACTTTAATCAAAGAGGTTAATGAGCGAACTACAGCAACCTTGAAGACCCTAAAACAGTGAACAAGGCACTGTAACTAGACAACTGGTAATGACTGCTGGTAGTGCCACTGGTGATTCCAGTCAGTGGCACTCATAACAAGGTGGTGGCCCCCTGGTACAGCTCAACTCTGGCAGTGGCACTTGTAGCAACCTCTGGTGGTGACCTGTGGCGATGGCACCATGGTGCCACAGGAGGGAGGGCCATCTGGACAGCTTCACTACCCCTTGTTACTGACCCTCCATCTGAGTATAACTTGATCCAGGAGGGTGACCTGCTTGGCACTCACACTAACAACACGTCTAGTGAGCAGAGGCACTCCCTCCTGAGTGCCTGCATGCACCGTGCTCAAGTTGGAGGCTGGGTTGGCACTTCCCGGGGGTGGGGGATGGCACTACTTCGGGGGTGGGGCTGGCACTCCCCCGGGGGTGGGGCTGGCACTCCCCCGGGGGTGGGGCTGGCACTCCCCTGGGGTGGGGCTGGCACTACCTGGGGGGGGGGCTGGCACTCCCCTGGGGGTGGGGCTGGCACTACCTGGGGGTGGGGCTGGCACTACCTGGGGGTGGGGCTGGCACTCCCCTGGGGGTGGGGCTGGCACTACCTGGGGGTGGGACCTGGGGTGGGCTGGCACTACCCCCGGGGTGGGGCTGGCACTACCCCCGGGGTGGGGCTGACACTCCCCCCGGGGGTGGGGCTGACACTCCCCCCGGGGGTGGGGCTGACACTACCCCGGGGTGGGGCTGGCACTACCTGGGGCTGGCACTACCTGGGGGTGGGGCTGGCACTCCCCTGGGGGTGGGGCTGGCACTACCCCCGGGGTGGGGCTGGCACTACCCCCGGGGGTGGGGCTGACACTCCCCCCGGGGGTGGGGCTGACACTCCCCCCGGGGGTGGGGCTGACACTACCCCGGGGGTGGGGCTGGCACTCCCCTGGGGGTGGGGCTGGTACTACCTGGGGGTGGGGCTGGCACTCCCCTGGGGGTGGGGCTGACACTACCCGGGGGTGGGGCTGACACTACCCCCGGGGGAGGGGCTGACACTCCCCCAGGGGTGGGGCTGACACTACCCCGGGTGGGCCCTCACTAATCCCATAATTATACCCGTCACTTTCAGCACATGATATGCCGCTCGGCTAATTATCCCCCGTCGGGGATACTGCTGTCTCGCTCTTGGCTGTCTGTCTGTCCCGGTTCTTACAGTGCCGCTCTTGTATCACTGACACTCACAGTTAAGAGACTGACAGCGGCGATACAGACACTGTACTGCCCTGAGTGGCACTGTAATTATATATATATATATATATATATATGTATGTCGTACCTAGTAGCCAGAACGCACTTCTCAGCCTACTATGCAAGACCCAATTTGCCTAATAAGCCAAGTTTTCATGAATTAATTGTTTTTCGACTACCTAACCTACCTAACCTAACGTAACCTAACTTTTCGGCTACCTAACCGAACCTAACCTATAGAGATAGGTTAGGTTAGGTTAGGTAGGGTTAGTTAGGTTCGGTCATATATCTACGTTAATTTTAACTCCAATAAAAAAAATTCTCCTCATACATAATGAAATGGGTAGCTTTATCATTTCATAAGAAAAAAATAAGAGAAAATATATTAATTCAGGAAAACTTGGCTTATTAGGTAAATCGGGCCTTGCATAGTAGGCTGAGAAGTGCGTTCTGGCTACTAGGTACGACATATATATATATATATATATATATATATATATATATATATATATA